GAGAGAGAGAGAGAGAGAGAGAGAGAGAGAGAGAGAACATCCCATCTGTAGAGTCAGAGACCACACACCCACCCGGCCGGAGGAATCACATGTCGAGGAGGGTAAGGACTTTCACTGCGGCGGGGACAGGGCTGGGGAGGAGAGAGGTAAGAAAACACAAGTACCGTCCAGGGGGCCACGAGAACGTCTGTGGGAAAGAGCCGTGAAACCTTCCCTTCTCCCCAACATCGAGCCCGGGAGTTTCTCACACTCCTGTGCCTTAACTGAAACCCAGTGATCTCCCAGACGTCACGCACACGCAGCCCTCTCAAGCGCTGGTCGGTGACAGTCCTGCACCCCGCGTGCCTCAAGCCTGGAAAGTGGGCTCGTTTTCGTCCCCGCTCCCACTTCCACTCCCGAACCATTACGTCTCACCCTCTTAAACAAAACCCTACGCCCGAAACTCATGCCTTCTCACTATGTCCTACTCTTGCACAGCTCACGGACATCCACCAATGAACCTGGGGCCCAGGCTCCAGCGAGGGCCTGTTTCCCCAAATCAGACCTGCCATCTTTCTGGCGTCTGATACAACACCCTGGCCCGCTCCCTGAACATCCTCACCTCTAGCCCGATCACAGCCCAGCACCTGCCGTCACCTGCCTGTCTCCTTCCTGCACACTTAACGCTCCCAACATCACGTTTTTAAACTTCACCAGCACCTCCAGTTCATGGCCCCATCACTGACGATCCATCATCCCTCTGTTTATTTTCCTCTTTCTCTCTATCCAGCTGAAATTATGTCGCCAACACGCCGCACCTTCACCGTCTTTTGATCTCATCTCCATGGCAGAGCAGCAGCCCTGGACGAACCCAACTCTGCGTGCTCGACTTGCCGTCCCGCAGCCCAGTGCCATCACACAAAGGCCCACAACGAGGGGATCAGTAACTCCCGAAGGTCACCTTTATTAATCACAACCTGAAATCCCGGTCTGCCTGGCTGACTTGCCCTTCTGGCTCATCAGTGGCTAGAATTCCTCCATGCACCTCAAACCTCTGAACCTCCACCTTCCGCTCTCTACTCACCTGCTCTTCATGCCTACTTCCCAGGGAACACAAAGGCATCCGGCAGGAATTCTCTCAACGTGCCACGACTACACAAGCCAACGAACCCACTCCTGCACCCGTCTTTCCCTCCCGTCCCTTCTGACTTAAATAAGGGGGGTGTGTTTCTCTTCCCATCCAAACCAATCCTTTCCGCCTTTTGCCCACACCACCCCCGCATGCCTACACTATTAACGATTCTTCTTTTCCTCTGTGTCCAGCTACAGCATGAATCACCTCGTCCTAGACCACACTCCCCTCCAGTTGACCATCTCTATCTTGCCTTCCGTCACAAACTTCTAGAAAGAGTTGCACGTCATCAGTATTCTGTTTCTTCATCTTCTGCCACTTCTTTTTCTCTTCTGGGCAGGTTCTGGACCTCCACTCACACAGCACTCCTGCGACTGACCCTTCAGGGTTACTACTTCAACGCACACTTTCAGCCCTCATTTTACTCACCAGTATCGTTACTTTCAACCTCTCCTTCCTTTTTAAGCTATAATTGACAAATAACATCAGGTTGGCTTCGGGTGCCCAACACGATGATTTGATACTTGTACATCTTGCAAGATGATCACCACAAAGAGTCTAGCTAACATTCATCACCACGCAGTTACAATTTCTTTTCTTGTGATGAGAACCTCGAAGATTTACTCTCTTAGCACCTTTCAAACTTGCAAGACAGTATCATTAACAGTCACCATGCTGAACATCACATCCCCACAACTTGTTTATAACTGGAGTCTGTACGTCTGACCACCTTCACCCATTTCACTTGAGTCTTCGTGTGTGTGTGTGTGCATGCACGATTCTTCCTAAAGGTCTTTCAACTGTTTATCCTTTCAAAGAAACATCTCTTGGTGTCATTAATCTTTCCTATTGTCTTTTTAGTCTCCATTTCATTTATTTCTGCTCTGATCTTCATTATTTCCTTCCTTCTACTGACTTTTTTTCTTTTCTACTTCAAGTGTAAAGTTAGATTGAGATTTTTCTCACTTAATTGAAGTAGGCCTGTACTGCTATGAACTTCCCTCTTCTAACTACTTTGCTGTATCCTGTAACTTTGGTATGCTGTATTTAGATTTTCATTTGTCTCAAGGTATTTCTTTCCTTCATTTTTTCTTTGGTCCTTAGTTGTTCAGTAGCACACTGCTTAATCTCCACGTTTCTGTATTTTCCAGTTTTCTTTTTGTAAATTATTTCTAGTTTTTTGTTTTTTACCATTGTGACAGGTAAGATGCTTAATATGATTTCAACCTTCTTATAGTTATTGAGACTTGTTTTGTGGCCTGCTGTATGATCTATCCTGAAGAATGTCTGTCCCATGTACACACATGTCCCATGTACACACGTGTAGTCTGTTGCTTTTAGATGAAATGTACTACTACATCTGTTAAATCCATCTGGTCTCACACGTTAAGACCAAGGTTTCCTTATTGTTTTGGAGTGTGGGTTTTGTTTTTGTTTGTTTGTTTGTTTTGTCTGGATGATCTAACCACTGATATAAGTAGGATGTTAAAGTCCCCTGCTATTACTGTTTCGCTATTTCTATTCAGGTGCCCCTATGTTGGGTCCGTATTTACAAACGTTATATTCTCTTGCTGTATTGAATCCTTTGTCATTATATATTGACGTCTCTGTCTCTTATTACAGTCCATTACTACCCCAGCTTGCTTTCTTCTGGTTTCCATTCACATGGAGTATCTTTTTCTATCCTTTCATTTCAGTCTGTGTGTGTTTGTGCAACTGAAGTGAGTCTCCTGTAGGCAGCATATAGACGGGTCTTGGTTCTTATCCATTTGGCCACTCTGTATTTGTTGTTTGGAGAATTAGTGCATTTGTAGTTGAAGTAATTAACGATAGGAATGGACTTAATGCCATTTTGTTAACTGTTTTCTGGTTGTTTTGCAATTCCTTTGTTCCTTCTTCTCTTGCCCTCTTCCTTTGTGATCTCATAGTTTTCTATAGTGTATTCTTACATTCCTGTCTATCTTTTGTGTATCTACCGTAGGTTTTTGCCTTGTGCTTACCACGAGGCTTACATAAAACAACTTATAACAATCTAAGTTGATGGCACGGTTTGAATGCATTCTAAAATTCTACACTTTTCTCCTCCATCCCACATTTTTATGTCTTTGATGTTCACAATTTACTTTTTTATCCTGTGTATTCATTAACAACAATTCGTGGTCATAGTTCTTTTTGCTACTTTAATCTCTTAACCTTCATAAGTACTCTGCATATAAGTGATTAACCCACCCCCCCTTTACACTAGATTATTCTGACAGACTGTGGATGCACCTCACTACACTCTCTGATCTGTGGGACAGGTGGCCCGTAAGAGCTATTTCTCCATTTGTAACAGTTCAGCAGGACTCACATGTGCGAGCCCCATGGTCACCAGGCCCAGGAGGTCAAAAGGGGTCTCCTGGGTGGCAGACAAAAAACTCAGGGTGCCAGACTAGTGTGCCAGCTCCCCGCCCCAGGAGAGTCCAGTGACCCAGAGTGGGATAGAGGAGAGCACCCCCCACCAGATGTGCCCACTGGGCTCTGTCCCCCGAGGGTATCTCAGTGGGCCCTCATATGTTCACCAAAGAAGCCTGCCCTGTAGGCTGAAGCTTCAGGACAAGACAACAGACCCCTTTCTCAGAAGGACTGGGGGTCTCTTCCAGTCTGCTGAGTCTGTGCTGGGCCCTGGGTGGAGCCAGGTAAGAACTCCACCTTTATAACAGTTCTATGGGACCTGCAGTGTAAGCCCCTCTGGCCACTGGTCAGGCCATCTAGAGGTTCCCCCAGGGCAGCAGCCACAAAACTCAGGGCGCCAAGTGAGCGTACGTGCTCCTTTCCTGGAGATGCTGGGGCTCTGGAGCAAGGCACAGGGAGAGGGTAAGGACGGCACCTGCCAGTCTCCCTTTTTGGACAGCATTTCAATAGGGCCCTGGATGTCAGAAGCCTGACTCTCAGAGCTGAGCTTTAGGATAATCTGATAGGCCTCGTTCACTGAAAGGCTGGGAACATTTTAGTCATTCGCTCGCCTGCCTGTGCGCTAGGCCCTGGGGAGGGTGACCGCTAAGTCCTTTAAGAACTGTTTTTCAGTTCCCTGTAGCCTTGTAGGTGTCCTGGATCAAAGCCCTGGACTTCAAAGCTAGCTGTCTGCAGGGCTCATCTCTCAGGGATAGGCCTTAAAACTTGGGGTGCCCGGTGTGGCTCAGGGAGAGGCTCAGGACTGTGAGTCCCCTCCTGGATGTGGGCTACGGGGCCGTGGGCGGGGATTACGGTGAGACTGTGCCTCAGTCTCTCCTACCCATTTTCATGGGACTTTTCCCTTCATTCCCCAATGTGCAGTTGATGAGCTAGTTTTGGGGTGTTTTCCGGTGGAAACGGTCACAGACGTAGCTGTATACTTGGTGTGCGTGCAGGAAGAGGGGAGTTCAGGATCCTTCTACATCAGCCGTCTTGAACCGGGACCCACTCCTTCGTTCCTGGTAGTTTTTTCCTCTGGCTTCTGTGACACCACGTACTCATCCTCTCGCTCATCATTCTATGTAGCCTGGCTCTGACCGTCCCCACGTGTCCACTACAGCCACCCTCCTTTACCCGGGTCGTCGCTGCTACAGCTCTTCGGTCCCTCTTCCGTCTCACTTCGTACTCTCTCCTTCGGGAATCTCACCGCGTCCACGGCTTAAGTTGCCACCCACATAACTACTCCAAGTACGTTGTCTCTGCCCTGGCTTCTCTGAGCCCCAGACACATATTCGGTTGCTTGCTTGACATCTCCCGGAGTGTACCAAAGGTAGTTCAAATTCCACGTGTCCCAAATTGAAATCACAATCTGCTCCCAGCCCCCACAGACCGACCCTTCTTCAGGGCTCCCTGTCTCAGAGAACAGCACCACTATTCGTTCTATCAGACAAGCCAGAAACCTAGCTCTCACCTTTGACACCACCTCTCTCTCACCAACCCACCACCCTGACTGATAATCCTACCTTCAGAACAGCCAAAGCCTCGGGGCGCCCGGGTGGCTCAGTCGCTTGAGCGTGCGACTCTTGACTTCAGCTCAGGTCATGATGCCAGGCTTGTGGGATCGAGCCCCATGTCAGGTTCTGTCCTGAGCATGGAGCCTGCTTAAGATATTCTCTCTCTCTCTCTCATTCTCTCTCCCTCTGCCCCTCCCCCTGCTTGTGTGCTCTCTCTCTCTCTCTCTCTCTAAAAATAAAAAAAAAAAATTGAAAAAAAAAAAAAGAACATCCAAAGGCTCCCTGTACCAATTCTTATTCCCCTCCAGTCTATTCTTCAATCTGCAGCCAGAGTGATCTTTTCAAAGTAGAAATCTGATGTCAGCTCTTTGTTTAGACCCTTTACATGGCTTTTGTCTTTGCAAGATAATGACCTGAATCCTTAACACAGCCAACAAGCCGTTACTTTGCCTGGCCCCTCTATTCCTATCCAGCCTTGTATTTCTGCCCCCTGTTTACTGAGGAAACTGACGGAAGGGTCACAGCTCTTCTACTTTTCACTCCGCTGGAGCGGAAGCTCTGCCAGCCCCGCGGACACTTAGCTATAAGGCCCAGGCACTCTAGGAGCGAGACAAGTACCGACATGGGGCCGGGGAGGTGCAAGTTAGATGTCTCCATGCGATTACCTCGATTTTAATTTTTCGTTTTCATAAAGCAGGAAGCATAAACAAGTAAGAGAGGCTTAAGGTCGAACCGCAACAGGGTAAACAGATGCCGTGGGCAACGAGAGGCAAAGCTAAAAGCAGGCCGGCTGGCACCGGGTGGTGCGGAGCGCCCCACGGATGCTGGGGACCATGGCTCAGGGAACAGAACCCACACAGACAAGGGTGCGAGAGCATCCTGCAAAAAGGCTTACCGGTCCGAGAGGGAAAGCAGGGAAAACCGGCAATTAAACTGAGTAGCGCTGAAGTCTGGACAACCCGGGAGCAGAGAAGCGGGAAGGGTGGAGGATACTGGTATCACAGAGGCTGCTGGAGGGAGAAGGGGGCCATGGATGGAGACCAAAGAGCAACCTTCATAAGGTGAGGACATAAAAGAGCTGTGGACAGGGTGCCCGGGGGGTCAGTCGGTGAAGCGTCCGACTCCTGACTCCGGCTCAGGTCGTGATCGTTGGTGCATTCGAGCCCCGCGTCAGGCTCCGTGCTGACAGCGTGGAGCCGGGAACCTGCTTCAGATTCTGTGTCTCCCTCTGTCTCTGCTCCTCCCCCTCTCGCCCTCGGTCTCTGTCTCTCTCTCAAAATAAAAGTTGAAAAATTAAAAAATGTTTAATTTATTTTACATATGGTTAATGGCAGAATTTGAGACCAGCAGAAAGACTGAACCGACGGAGGCGTGTGGGGGAGTAATCAGGGCCCCCACAGACAAGAGCGACAAAGGAGGTCACGGCACAACCAGAGGTACGGGGGCCTTCAGGGAATGCTGAGCCAACTTTAGAGTCCTTGCCTCACAAAAACCCCCAAAGTTACAGAAACGTCAGATTTTCTCGGTGGTGGCAGCGAGATCACTGTTGTTATTTTGATTACGATGACAGCATTTAGATTATGTCCCTTTAAGAGGCAAGCTCTCTATCTGAAGATACTACCAACTGCCAAGACTAATGAAACCCATCAAGTACCAAACCTCGTATTTTGAAAGTGAACTAGTATTTCAGTGTACATTACTTGTTTTCTCAGTTTACGCTATTGAAATTTCTTCCCATCTCCGTAAAAGAAAACATAAATTGACATGCCTGGATAGTAATCTTGATAGATTTCTTCTGTCTGTCCTGACTTCAAGGCTCCAGAAAACGTTTCAAGTGTTTTATATTTTAAGGTTTCCTTTGCTGCTGCTTTAGCTGGTTGAGTCTCTGATGATGTGTCGTCTCCATACTCCTGTTCCTCGTATTTCCGAAGCCTGATGTGACAAAGAAAGTCAGATGGCGTGGTCGACGTTCTCTAGGACTTGACGCTTAAATCTTTATACTATACAATATAACACCTATCCTTTCAAACACTTTTTGATAGACCCTCTAAAATGTAGATCTGAACAAGGAGAGGCTATCTAGTTAAATGCAAAAGAGATCTGATATTATTGTTGAAATTTTAATGCTGGAAAGGACTTAAGAATCCTCACCTAACCTAAAAGATGAAGAACTGTTACCCGATTAGCTTAGCGGCAGAGTGAGGTCAGAATACAGTTTCCTGGAATTCAGTACCCTTCTTTATAAAACAATCACCCACAACCACACTTATTGAGATTCAAACCAAAATCTTTTCACAATACATTAGCCAACTGCCTGTTTGTAAATGCTGGAAAACCTTTTCGTAAGAACCGAATCCACAATCACTGCCTACAACTGACTTACACCACAGACCGTGTTTTTACGAGGCGGGGGAAATTCAGGGTTCTGTAGATCCTCACATACTGCTCGGTGGGAAACAGTAACTACCAGTAGGGTAACAAGAAGGGAAGTTCCTCGCAAAGACAGAGCACGACCTCTCTATACTTGCTCATGGATACTTTCCTTAGGTGTTAAATCTTCCTTGAGTGTTTTGAGTCCCCTTAGTTTAAAAACTCCTTGAGGGGCGCCTGGGTGGCGCAGTCGGTTAAGCGTCCGACTTCAGCCAGGTCACGATCTCACGGTCCGTGAGTTCGAGCCCCGCGTCAGGCTCTGGGCTGATGGCTCGGAGCCTGGAGCCTGTTTCCGATTCTGTATCTCCCTCTCTCTCTGCCCCTCCCCCATTCATGCTCTGTCTCTCTCTGTCCCAAAAAATAAATAAACGTTGAAAAAAAAATTTAAAAAAAATAAAAAAAAAATAAAAAAATAAAAACTCCTTGAACAGTTTCCTCTTCATTGAAATGTCAGTCCATACCCTCTGTTCGTTTTTTATACTGAATCGCATACCACTTTCTTAACAACGCTTAGTTCTTCATGCACTTTGGATAGTAACCTTCTGCCATTTTATATGTGCTGAAGATGTCTTCTGGTTTGGTCGTCTCACTTTCTTGATGAAATCTTCACAAATGTAAGTTCTTCACTTTAATATAAGCTAATTTATCTATCTTTGTCTTTATGATTTGTGTTTATTCTTAAGAAATCTGCCCTTACTCCAATCTTGACAAAATTCTTGTACTATTTCCTAACAGTTTTAAAGTTTTGCCTTTTACAAGTCTTATACATCATATGTTGGTTCTTTTTTTTTTTTTTT